TTGAGAATTGCTACAAAGGTAGATTATAACCATTGTCAGTCTGATATATTAGATTGAAGAGCTCAAATCTGTGACTCAAATCCCCTTTATCATTCTTAAGGATATTCGTTCTTGTGCTATTTCTAGAAACTCTCATTTCTTTGATTTTTTCAGGTCTTTTGATTTTCATTTTCTCAAGAATAAGCTCAAGAATTTCTACTTTCATCCAAGGTTTTCTTTTTTTCTAAGTGTTTTAAGGGTTTATTTTCCAACTGACATGGGGGCATCTCGATTTTTGGTCTAATTTATTTCGTCCTTGCCTTGTAGTCACCTCAATGGTGATCGCCTACGTCAGATAACTCTGATATGTCAGGTGTAGAAGAAAAATGCAATTTGAGAAAAGAATAATAAAAAAGAAATAGAAAATTAGTAAAAAATATAAATATATATTACATAAATAATTCACAATATGTACAGAAACCTAAAGCTGTAGAAATTATAATAGAATTAAAATTAAATAGCTGGTATGCACGGTATACAAACTATATATAGACGTATGTATTTATTAGTTTAAAAGTCAGAATATAAATTTTTGAATTTTTTTTAAATAATTTAATTTTTAAATAATTTAAACCAATAAACACATAACTTTATGTTTTAATGGATATTTTAAATTAATGATATATTACACCGGTCTAAAAATAAATACATACAAATAAGACAATCAATAATACTGATTGATGGCATCACATTAAAAATAAGATATAAGGCACAACCTTAAATAAAATAGAAATAAATAAAAATATTAAATCAATACTAAAATGTATAAAAAGGTTTTACAAATTTTGAAGTTACAATTGTCAGTTTAAATAATTATAATACAATAATCGGTGATGTGTTGTATGTAGCTTCAATATAATGAAAATATAATACAAAATGAAATACTTTACTTTTCTTTTACTAATCACTGTTATGAAGATCACTGAGAAGCTATAGTTAAACTTAGTAAAGGTCTAAAATATTCTTGAATCACAAAAGAATTGAATAAATAATCAAATTGTGTGAATGTGAAACATAAGTTATTTTTCATAAAATTTATTTATGTAACAATTTGTATGTCACAACTTTCAGTGACAATCCATATTTTTAAAAGAAATTGTTTTAACATGATTATTGTCGTTTAAAGGTTGTGAATATATTGTGTGAATTATTCGTGTCAAGATGAGTATTTGGAATTGTGTCAAAAGTAAATGAAGTTGCCTTCTAGGGCGCTTGGTGCATATGAAAAGTGTTTTTCTGCGCTCTAGTATGCGTTTACAAAGTTTTGAATTCTTCATTAGATGTATATTTTTGAAAAATTTCAAGTTTTGTGTTAAAAAAAAAAGAAATAGATAAAATATTATAAATCAATGATAGAGCACAAAAAAAAAACAATTAAAAATAAAAACATAATTTTTCGTAGAAACACTTCCGATTATATCAAGAAATCATTTATTGGTCAATAATGGTAATTAGTTTACCCTTTTGGATCTTACTGAATTTTTTTAACATTTGTCTATATCCTATTCTTAACTTTAAAATTTCAAAAGTAGCAGTCTTAAACTAAATTTTTAACATTTTATTGAGATTATTATATTAAAAATTTAATAAAGATACAAAAAAGTAGCTAACAACATAGAAATTTGTATAAATTTGGAAATTATTTAGTACACAAAAGTGAAGACAATTTATAACAGGCATCAATAAGAGATATTTTACCAAAAAGATGTATTGCAATAAAAGACTGTTTGGTGATAGAATTCATGAACTGATTTTTTTAAATTTTCATATTTACGATGTCGCCAAACATATAACGATGAAGCCATGTGTATCTAGCAGACGTCAAGTGAGCTAATGTATTTATGTGATCTAACAAATGTTTTTATCTGATGCACAGACTTAGATAAAATACAAAACAGTATTAGTTACTTAGTTTTAAAAGAGTCGTGTTATAACATTAAATAAAGGCACACGTATTAATCCATGTTTATAATTTTCTTGTAAAAAACCCTAAGAAACCCTGAGAATACCTAAGTTCATGCTTAAGTTTGGCGCCCAACGTGGGGCATAGATAAGATTGCCGTAACTTATGGCAGGCAATTATATATGGATAAATCAAAGTTTTAGTGTGTTTTAGTGGTCAACTTATGGCAAAATTTAATTTTTTCGCTTTGTGTTTAGTTGCTGGCCAGAAAGTTGAATTAATATGATTCGGTAATTCTATTTAGTTATATTCGGACACTTATGCATCGATACTTAACTACTTGAATATCGGTTACTAAAAAGAACAAATTGTTTCGGAAATTATATTTGGACTGTTTGTGCTGTTTTTTTTTATTTAAACAATAAGTAGCTTTGATATAATTACTGGAATACGTAATCTTAATAGCTTCGGTATTAATTACTCGACTACACGTGTTAAATATTCTGATTTGTTGAAAACCCGGAAGTGATCTAGTATCAATTTGTTCCAAGGATATATTTACTACAGTGTCTGTCAAAAGTAAGGTCCTGGAGATATTTTATTCAAATTTTCATTCGGCAAGTACTTTCCAATTTTACTGCAAGCAAAACCATTTATCTAACTTACGTTTAATTCAAAATTGAGCCCCTGGCGAACATTTGATTTCGATAAATAATTTTTAGTCATATTCTGAAGAAATACATTCATGCACATAAATAGTACAGACATGACGAATAAAACATAGTGGTAACTAATAAACAGTTTTAAAAACTTTTGTTGAGACTGTCGGTACAAAATGCTCCTGTTTCGCCGTCATTGCAAAGTAATAATCTTTCGAAATACCCTTCGCGTTTTGGTGGTAAAAAGGACACCGATGTAAATGCTTCTATTAGTGCTGTAGAAATTTATAAAGATTGAGCATTAGTGTCAGACGAAAACGCGTTTTGAAAAATCACAATCCTTTGTGATGATTTTGGTGCTAAATGGTATCAAGACAATCAAGCTAATATTTCTACATGAGAGGAACTTTTTTTGCTTGAACATGCTTTTAAGAATTATGTTTGGTCTGCAAAAACCAGCATATCGTGTTTATCGCGAACTATTTGTTGAGGAACAAGATTTGACACACAAACAGATTTGACAAACAACAGTTGACGTTTTTGTTAGTAAATAGTTGAGTCATAATTGCTCAACTAGAATCAGGTAGTCTTAGAAAATCGGTTCAATTAGAGATAGTGTACGATAGTGCACAAAAGTATTAAAAAAAGATTTCTCGAGAATCAGCTGCAACTTTAATGATTTACTAACGCTCACAGTATATTTATTGTCGTGTTTCTGGATATAGTGAGAAAGATTTTCGTAAATTAATTCTTCAACTGTCTAAAGATCAAGCTGCACCTATGACTTCTAAAGTAATTTCAGATTCATCGATTATGGTTAGTGTTACCGTCAGAACAACTACTTCGAAATTATTGCACAATAGCTTAATCAACACTTTAACTTGTTACAGTTGTGGTAGTAAACTAGATTTCGTCAGAGCAAACTATCCAGTTTGTAGTCATAAGAAAGCTTCCTCGTTAGATTTCGTAGATACATTTATTTCACCTCAACCTAGACCGGTTTTACGTATCAACATATTAGGTCCTGAAGAACAAGCTTTAATCGATACAGGTGTTAAACAAAGTGTAGCAGATATAACTTTATACAACCTTTTGGAAAATAAAGGTCACACTTTTAAGTCAGAACAAGTTTTTGTAAAATTTGCTGATGGTCTTAATAAAAAGGAACGATAATTATGCACAAACGAGAGATAAATTGGTGCCTACTAAGTTTATAGTTTTTCCTAATGCACATAATAGAATTCTGCTTAGTATTGTATTTTTGACCTATGAACATTTTGCAAATGAATGCACACGACAGCGTATTTTGTATAAAGCCAAGTGTACAGTTTCGATAAAAATTCATTGCTGTGAAAATTTAAGACAGGATAAAGGGAAGATATTAGCTGCATATGAACAAGCTCGACTTGACTACGTTTTAGAAACTAGGAAGCATGTCTTCAGAATGGAAGAAGAGTCTACAGCATATGCAGAGCATCGCAGTAACACTGAACATAGCACATCAATTGTACTGCCATCAAACCGAATGTCACCTGTAAAGAGAGAACTGCTCTAAACCGAGTTAGATAAACTCCTGAAACAAGGCATCATCGAAAAATGTAAAAGTGCATGGGCCGCGCCTAATGTATGAGATGCCTGAAAAAGATGGTGGTATGAGACTTTGCGTAGGTTACCAATGTTTAAAAACCGTGACTACAACTCACTCTTATTCGATACCGCGTATGGATTATTTATTACACACCTCTAAACAAACTTTTTATATGTCTACCATAGACTTGCGATCGGGGTATCATCAAGTTAATGTAGCGAAAGCTGACCCTATAGAATCAAGCGAGTGGTAACGCCTGTGAGTTACGAGCTTTGTGAAGTGAGCAGCCCCTACTGACTGCTCTTCGTTTATTCCAGGTATTTGCTCTTACATACGCTAAACTTAATGATGTTAGTGTGTATGTAGCGCCAAGATGGAGACAAAGACGTCAGAGGAAGAAACCTTCATCTTCTACTGGGTCCTCCTCTAACGAGTTCGATGCCAGGGGGAGAATGTAACAAACTGTCACTCCTAAGAGAGTGTAAGGAATGAAATAGTCGAAAATAATTGTGTTATAACCTTCAATAAAGGCACAAGCATTTATCCATTTTTACAATTTTCTTGTAAAAAAACCCTAAAATTCTTGAGAACAACTTGGTTCATGCTAAACTATTCATTAATTAAATCTGATTCGATTTATGATATATTCTGAGTGTTTACACGTACGTAGTAAGTAAATAAATGAAATAAGTTACAATTAAAGTCAAAACAACAATAATCTTATTGTTTTGTCAAAAGTTTTTTAAAAATGTATAAAATTTTACTATCTAAACTAGTTAACGAAGTACTATATACACAATTAATTAAATAATCATTGGGTGAACTCATGGAGTGCAGATATGGTACCGGACACTAGACCGAATATTGAAAATGTACAAATTAGCATATTTTTTATTAAAATGTAATTAAACTTCCCTAAGTCGTCCCAATTAACTATAGTATCTAATACAGCGGGAATCAGAAACCCTAATGTTGATAAGAAAATAGCACCAGCTAAGTCTATAAGAGCGTCGAGGTGATGTCCAGCTGCAGCTGCTATTGCAAAGATAAATACCACAAGTACTGTTCTAGTGATAATTTGACCGATGTTGTGTCGTTCTTCTGAAACGTAGGGTTTAACTTTTTTCCATATGGTTTCGGTTGGCACATAGAACTGCAACATAAAAGTGAAGAATACTGCCGATGAGATTGCTGCTTGAACTAGTTGAGCCAGTCTGCAAAAAAAATTATTACATTATAATTATGAAGTACAAACACATTTTAAGTTCTAATATTAATTCACACATTAGCGATTGCATTAGCGACAATTGAGTTTTACAAGGGATGATTGTTAGCCCTTCGTACAACACCCTATTCATTGTAGAACCAAAACTACCTTCTTCGTCAGTTTTGACGACATATCCCAGTGGGGTTTGTAAATCCAGTAAAACAAAGGTGAAAAAAAAGTCTTTACATATTTAGATACTGAAATCGATCAAAGGAATGCTGTCATTAGCAAAATGAATGCACTTAGTGCCAGTGGGAATCGTATATACTATGCTAAAAGAGATTGATAAAACTAATCCAAAATTATTCCAAAAAATAATAGAACAAAACAGAATTCCTCAAGAATGGAGATCAAGCATCTTAATACCTCTCTTCAAAAAAGGAGACAAATCGGACCAGGAATATTACAAAGGAAAATTAATTTATTAAACACAATACTAAAAATAACGACCAACGTGATAACGATCGTGTCGAGAAGATGTCGAGAAGATCATGCACTGACGCTATACCTATAAAGAGGTAAGTGTGGGAGAAATCATTAGAATACAACAAACAATACCTTATTGCACGTAAGAGAGATGTCGCTAGGGATAATCAAAACGATCGCAAATATCTATTAAAACAACACAATAAAAGTAAAAGTAGATGAAGAACTAACCGACCTATTAAAGCTGTCAATGGGATAAGACAGGGAGATTCCCTGAGTCCTCTATTGTGTATTACTATTAAATAATAAAAATGTAATACAATAGACTCGCGATTATCCGAGTCTCGATTAACCGAGTCCTTTGATTATCCGAGGTAGTAATTGAAAAAAAAACAAATTAGGTAATAAATTAGCTTAAGAGTGATATCAAGTAAAAGCGTTGCACTGGTTATTGGTATGCTGAAGAGATAAGTCCTAGCCACTGTGCTTCTACTGACCGCCTCACCAGCTACTCCTCCACCCGTCAGTTTGAGTCATAACAGCTAGATGTTCGGTTAGTCCCACTGTAAGCTCTTACAGGTTCATTAATGTCTTCTCTTTGTGTAGTTTTTACGTAACTTGAAGTGCAATATAAGTCTAAAATGTAAACGAGTTTGCTTTCTTTAGAAACAAAATTAAGTGCTATAAAACGCTGGGATAAGGGTGAGTCAGTAAATAAGGTTGCTTTTGGCCTAGGTTTTGGAGAAGTGACTGTGATTGGAGACTTAAACGAGAATATATTGAACAATCGGTTAATAAAAGTGTGAGTCCTGGAAGTAATTTGTTGCAGAAAACTATGAAGAAAGGAAAATACGAACAGTAGTGTGTGGATGGATTGCCAAATTTTTAAAGATTGGTTTTTTGATGAACCTAATAAAATACCAATATGCCCAACTTATAGTAAAAGTAAAAATCGAGGGAAAGAGAGGCCCAGGAAGGAAAAGACTATCGTGGCTCAAAAACATCCGACAATGGACAGAGCTACATTTTGAGCAGCTAATAAGAACAGCTGAAGATAGAGAAGAGTTTAAAATTGTAGTAGCCAACATCCATTGAGGAGAGGGCACTTTAAGAAGAAAAAGAATAAAAAAGAAAAATTTACCAAGAAAATCTACTTTTCTTTTGGACAAGTTCGTTGGCAAGCGGTCATACTAAAGACACTAAAGCTGTTGTCTTGCCACCAAACGTCTTATCTCTCATTCCTCTGGACCAAAGAATTTTAGAGGCAATAAAACGGAACTATCGTCGAAGGCTTCTCCAAGTGTTGTTGACCTGCTTGGATGAGAGAATGGCTGTGACAGCAGCACTTTAAAAGATCACCCTTAAAAGGATGTGTCTTACTGGATAGCTTCAGCGTGAAATAATATGAGAGTAACAACTTTGCAAAACTCAAGGCGAAAGCTTTTTCAAATTGAAGCGAAAAGTTATGAAAAAGATGACAATGACTGTATTGCTGAAATAGTAGACCTCGCTAGTCAGTTACCAACGAAACTGACTATCAACTCACACAATGTCACTGCGGATGACACAGATGAGATAATCGAGAAAATATCTCACTCCGTAGAACTGAAAAAAAGCATCAAGCAGAGAAAGCTGGAGTATTTCGGACTTGTAATGAGAGGTCCCAAATATAGATTGCTACAAAATAACATGCAAGGAAAAATAGCAGGCAAACGCAGTCCAAGACGAAGAAAAACCTCATAATTAAAGAACTTGCGAGATTGGTATGGTCTTGATACAAGCATGCTATTCAGGGTGGCAGTGAATAAAATTAAGATAACTATGATGGTAACCAACGTTTTGAAAGGGCATGGTACATGAAGAAGAAGTAGGATTGAAGGCGATTGGAGCTGCCCGTGCCTACATTCAGCAACAGGAAGAGTCAAACACTACCGACGTCCTACATCTTTAGCGTTGGAAAAACGTCGCAGCTTCAAAACGAGGCCAGAAGTTGACGCACAAGTCCAAGACTTTTTTAAAACATGAAGATGATCCATTACGTAATTGTTTTCCTATCTATATATTTTAACTATGGATTCGCATATAAGATAATATACTTTAATTATACATAATAAACGAATTACATAAGTCATGACTTTTAAATTTTTGGTTTATTTTAAGAAACCACCTGATTTCTGGGTTATCAGAGTTTTTCGGTATCCGAAGTATGCGCGGTCCCAATTAGCTCGGATAATCGCGAGTCTACTGTACCTAAAAAGAATACCAAATGGGAGAAAAACAACTTAAAATAATCTGCTATGCAGAAGATGATTTATAACGTATGCTGCACCAATTTAATATAACCGCCAGAAAATTTAACATGTTAAGTTCTCCAAAAAAGACAAGGTGCATTGTTATAACAGCAAATTTACTAAGATGTAAATTGGAGCTGGAAGATCAGATAATAGAACAAGTGTTGAAGTTTAAATATCTGGGCATCACATTATCTAGTTACTAACCACTCGAAACTGAAGTGGAAGATCAAGTGAACAGAGCAAATGGAACCGCAGGTTACCTGAGTGAAATAATATGAAGAAAAAAATATCTGGAAAAAAAATTAAAAGCAGAATTTACAAAACAGTGATCATACCAATAACGGCAGAAACACGACCTGACACACGGGACAAAAAATATGTTGGACACAGCGGAGATGAAAACACTTAAAAAAATTGATGGTAAGACACTATGGAGCGTACCTAGAAGTACAGATATACAGCTGTACATCAAGAACTGGGTAAGAAATTGAAGTGTAGAATGAAACAATCATATAAGCCGAATGCCAACAAATAGAGTAGTAAATCTGACAAGAGACGGTTTCCCAATAGAAAGACGATCAGTAGGAAGACCACAAAAACGATGGTATATATAAAATTACTGAAGGTATATTGAAAACTATACAGAGTCATGTCTATATATAAAAAAAGAAATTGTTTAAAAAAGAACCAATATAGCTCCTTACAGAATACTAATTAGACCCGTAGTAACTGATGAATGTGAGACATGGGTAATGACAAAAAAGATAAAGATTATCTGCCGATGATAAAGACATTCCAGAGAAAGATAACGAGAAAAGTAAATGGTCCAGTGCGAAAGTACGTAAAAAATTAAAAGAAGCTACGTGATTAATGAATTGAATAAAAAGCATGATATTGTATGATTTGTAAAAAATCAGAGGCTGCCATGGTTGGAATATGTTAAGCGACAAGAAGATATAGCAATTAACAAAATGCTGTAATGGAAGTTGACTGGAAAACTAAAGAAAAAAGATCCAAAACGAGATGGTCGGGTAACATGGAAGACGTATGTATAAGTAAGATAATGGAGAAGGGCACAAGAAAGATCTGAATGAAACGACATAGCTAGAGAGGCATAGACTCATCCAGGGTTATGATGTACATGAAAGAAAACCTTCTACATATGCAAACAAGGAGGATCACCCTAGAAGGTTTTTTTAAGCTAACAAAGTCTCAATATCTAGAATCCGGTAACGCAACTGGACATTACGATACCTACTTAAGTATTAAAACAATACAAATTTATGAAGATGCCTGTTACATAATGGCTTCAACACAAAATTTCTAACTCTCGGTAAATATCATTATAAACAAGTATGAGTTAACAAAAAAAAGAAATTACAGAATACGCAAGAGGTGCCCTCTATTATTATACAAATGTATGAAGAGGTAGGAATAGGAGCTAATGCTCTATCACTAGAGTATCAATAGCCTTCGGAAATAATGTGTCTGATTAATTTTGAGGGGCAGTGTATATGAGTAATGGTACTTACAGTTCTTCATTGGGTAAATTTTGCGTAATCGTAGCCGCCGTTTCATCACCAAATGCATAATATCCAAAACAACCCAAGCTGGCAAAAAATGTAACTATAATTGCCATACCCATATTTAGAACACCAGGACATCCCAAAAATTGGGGAGTAATCATGGAATTTTCAACAGGCATAATAGTACCTATACCTAAAAAGAATAAAATTTAAATTAGAATAAATTAAATAATTCGTTAGTTTAGAATTCTTAAATATGTTTGTGTTAATTTTGTAAGTATTACCTTCCATGGCAAATATGACAGTACTGAAGAACGAAGGCAATCCGGACCAGGTGGTTACTAAATTCCTTTCTTTGATGCTCACTTTTGGAATTTTCACGAAAGTATAATACAGAGTAATTGCAAATGCGACACACATAGTGATGTTAGCAATAAAAGAGAATGGTACGAGGTGCTTCAATTCTCTTACTTGGCAAAAGAGAATTAGAGGTCCAAGAATCATAAGTTTAAAATAAAGACTCCAAACGTCTTCACCAGCTGGTTCGTAGTATACTTTTACTAGCTAAAAAAATATAGAAACAATTAGATAAAAATGAAAAATAAAAGAAAAATAACTAAAATATACTAATTTAATAATATTAAACGAATTTTTTTTGTGTGTTTTGGCTCATGTTTTAAAAGTTTTGGCAAAAAATATTAATTGGAATTTTTTAAAGAGCAAATTTATTTAAACACTAAATAGTTATTATAAATCTATAACTTAATATTTAACTAAACTAAATTATGTAAATTGGCCCATTATGCTTTATCAGACGTAAATTTCTTCAAATATCTTTCATGAGGTCTTGGACAAAATTCAGATCAATTTCTCTCATTTTTTCGTAAATTCACCATTTTAATTATTCTTCATCTTGGACTTTCCAGCCACCATAAGAAATCTATTTGGACAGTAAAGTTTTAAAATTTTCTACTAGGCGAGCCTGTGGAAGTTTTTAGGATTATTGTTTAAAAAAAAAGGTATGTGGTGTTGTCGAAGCCAGTTTTGGGTATCGCTTGAGAAATGGCATAATACTTCTTCTTCTTCTTCTTAGAGTACGTAATCAGGAGGTTGGCAATCATATTGACTATTTATATTTTAGAACTTGCTGCTCTAAACAAATCAATCGATCTGCATTGATACCAATCACAATGATACTAGCTGTGGCCAAAATATGATATTGTCATTAGCATGATATTCGTGGACGAACTGAAGCAATTTGGAAAGGCAGTAATTAATACAGCTCTGACTATTCACAGATGCATCCCCCCTCTTTGTACAAAAGGTCGGGATACACCCCTAATAGAAATTGCGTACCAGGCAAGGATTTTATCTGCAAATTTCGCTTTATGTTTGCATCAAACTTTGCCAGTGCATTATTCTACATTGTCCATCGTTGTCCTATCCACCGTGTCCCTTTATTTCAGAATTACTAAAAGTAAAATACTTTTTCGTCATCTATAATAATTTTTTCATTGGTAATGTGTACTCGCCTCAGTTGACACCATCACCATCAGTGTACACCCTCTTGATATAGGAAGGAGTTGTACTTAGGAGTATTTGGGGCACCTACATCGCTTTCGATATTTAAGATCCTTCCTTCTCAATTCTAGCGATATCGTACTCTGAGAAGATTATGTATTGACAAGAAAGTCTCCTCATTGACATTCTGGTCAAAGTTGGACTTTAACCTGGTTTCTTGATCTTCTCACCAATATCTTTGTGCAATAGATGCACGTGGTCATTAACTATTTGGGAGATTCAGACATGGTATTCTCTGCTCGCACTATGCTATTGTTTTATTAATGGTTCTGCGTAAAATGTTTTCATTCTGGAATATTTCACACATTTCAGCTTTGGGTACCCGTCCAACCAACTTGTAGATAATTTCTTTTATCTTTAACGACACTCTTACATGACATCTTAAAGTGAAAACTTTTATAATATTAAATCCAATGAAGTTTGTGCAAAAACTTGTATGACATACGTTATTGCATAATAACATCAAAAATTTGAAAGAAACGCAATACAACACTTAACTATCATTCTGAGATGCACTTATAAATAAACAAGCTCATAATTAGACGAAAGCTAAATAAAGAGTAAACGAAATATTAAATAATTTTAATTAAAAACCTTTATTTATAGTTTACATTAAATGAAGCAGAAAATTAAAAAATGCCACAAGTACTTTTAGAATCTAGTTTCTAGCAGAATGATTGTTATAAAATTTTGTTATAAACCAGTAATATAATGTCAGTAAAGTAGGAAAAGAGCAGTCAGTACAAAAAATACTATCAAACAGTTAAAATCGTTAGATCTAGCAATCAAGAAACTCTATTCTAAATAAACAAACATCAAAAACATAAATAAAGTTAATCTTTTTCTTTAGAATCACTTACCTTTTGAAGAGATTCTGATATAAACACGATATACACCGCTGTTCCTGCAGCATAAGTTAAGGCGAGAGCAATATCCGAAAAATTCCTGAAAATAGCACAAACCATTAATTGCAAGACAGTATTTTGGAAACTAATCATTTTGTGTTTATTTTTGATTAAATAATAATTTATGCCAATTAAAAAGCCACTTGAATATTAAAAACTATAATAGCACAGAGCAATAAGACACACTAATATAATACTGTTTATGATTCATTATATAAGAATAATGAAAAGTGTCATACAATAATTTCTAAATGAAACATTAAAGATTACAATTTTCGAAATTTTATCAAAAAAATTATTTTTTTTTGATTTTTCCTCGGTTAATTTTTTAACTACGTTTTGAATATTTCGTAATCTTTCTCAAACAATTATCAATTTATATTTCAAGATAAACACTTCACTGTAGATGAGGTATACTGGATTACAGATTTGATCCAGAGGGTGAAAATGAAAAATGTATCTAAAAGGAAAATGCAATGCTCGATAATATTTTTAGATGTGGCTCAGGCATACGTCAAGGTCTGGTGAAGGATTATATACACCAGAAATTTAAAAATTTCCTTCCAATCTAACATTTACAATATTGAAATCATATTGTCGGTAAGATATTTAAAACAAAAAGATATTTATTCTGATCTGAAATCTGAAATCCGTGCAAGAACACCTCAGTGAAGTGTATTGGGATCAAAGCTATATATCCTATACATAGTGAGCTGACAAATCTTAAGAAACTTATTGCGACACTTTCGCGATATTAAGACTATAACCGTTAGTGAAACAAACAGTAAATTTGAACTTAGTGCACTGAAACGAATAATATAATGTTTTTATACATCACCCAAGTTTGATATTGTTTATAGAGAGAATTTATAGAGAGAATATTTATCCGAAAATTACAATAAACTCAGTTATACTTCCAGATGAAGAGTAAATCACAGTTTTTAAAACAACAATGAACTGTATATTCAAAAAAAAGCTGGTATCCGTTTTCAGTAATGGGTATTGCCACCTCCAATCGGGAAAACATTCCTCATTCGATTTAGCATGGAATATTTAGCATTTCTTTGGGGACACATGGTCCGTTACTCAATAAGTGCCATCTGAAGTTCTACAGGTGTTGTGGAACATGTATATGACGCCTAACATGACTTTTAGTAGGTCCCATATTTGCTCAATAGGATTTAAATCGGAGCTTTGAGCAGCCCAGTCAATTTTTGAAATATAAACCTGTTCAAGGTAACTAAGCTGTTTGGCTAAGCAGTTATATCAGACAAAAAGGTAAAATAGCTAATATTTATATTGTGCTGATTTAATATTGTAAATTGATTTACTATCTATTAAATACGTTTAAAACCCGTAAACAGATTTAATAATGTAGTTAACAAACTAAGTAACTGAAAACACAATATAAATCTTCAGGTTCGGTTGTGATCTCTAATTTTATGAGTTAAAAATGACCAAGTGAAAGCAAATGACGCGTCATAGGGTAAGCATAGGGTAAAATATGACACTCGTCACATTTTACCACACACGGCGGTTTCGTTAGCTTTGTACAGGCATGTGGGGCTCTGATACAAGCGACTATTCATATCTTAGTTTATCCAAAGACAAAAAGTAATCAGAAAAATAAACAAAGCAGTTTTATTTATCAGAAAATTGCAATAAACTCAGTTATACTTCCAGATAAAGAGTAAAGCACAGTTTTTAAAACAACAATAAACTGTATATTAAAAAAAAACGTTATCCGTTTTCAGTAATGGGGATTGCCACCTACATTCTGGATAACATTTCTCATTAGATTTAGCATGGAGTATTTAGAATTTTTTGGGGAAAAATGGTCCATTACTCAATAAGTGCCATCTGAAGCTCTCCAGGTGTTGTGAAGCAGGTATATGACGCCTATGAACACCTTTAAGTTTAAAACAAATATGCTACCAATTCGACACTGCGATGAAGTCCAAGCAGCACAGATTGTAATTTTGTACGAGGAAAAATATACACAAAAATATCGAACGGCGTCTCAGGAGAAGTCAATCAACAGTTTCGAATATTTTAAAAAGGTACCATGAGAATTGGGACGAAATTGGACGAAGATTAAAAGAAACAAACTTAAAGCCTAGTCACCATTTAGTCCGGATTTAAATCTAATAAAGCACATCTGGGATCAGCTAAAATGCTACATACGACAAAAACGGTTCCAAACACGATAGACAGCTTCGGCTTGCTGCACAGGATGTTGGAATGCAATTTCCCAAGAGTAGTTACTATTTAAATAGGAATAAGCCACAATTAAAGGTTATAGTACGTTTATTGACGTTTCAATTTTCACTTCGGAAAGTGTTTGTGTGTCTTGACACACCCAAGGGTATGTCCAAAATTTACTTGCAAGCTTGCCGAGAAGGATGCAAGGAGTAATAATAGCTAGAGGGGGAATACTCATTACTGAACATGCACTTCTTTCAATTAAAAAGACTTGTTTAAGCAATTAAGTTAGCATTTAAGTTTAGAGTAAGAAAACCTTATTTGTCTAGTATTTAGCATTTTTTTTTTCGCAATTGTTTCCGCATAAAATTTTAAAATTGTTTATTAAACATTGTTAAAATAAACTCTTTTTTACAATAAACTACCTGATTGACCAGAATTTATTTAAAAAAAATTGGGAAATTCCAAAATATTCGATATTTTTGTCCATGAGTGTATTATAAAGACATAATTTAATTGACAAAATTGACAGATTATCGATTTTTAAAATCAATGATAACTAATAATCGAAATACTTATTATTTCGAAATCACGGTATACAATAGGAATAAGATTATTATTTTCCCTGAACCGATAAAATGATATGATAGAATGTACAACACTTGTAATAATCTGGTTGTTTGCTTATCGTTATAATCCCGGCAGGAAAAATAACAACTACCAACAGAAAATGTATAGATAATAAAACAATAATTATTTATCTTATTACGGATTATATCTATGTTTGCATTATGTTTTAATATACAAATCATACTAAACTCGAAAACGTTTAATTTGGAAATCAATAAAAAAGTATTCATTTCACGAGTTGTTTAAAAGTATAAACCTTAATATATAATATTTTTACAAACAATTTTCACAATTTGGAAGAAAATTGAGGGATATACAGTTAAGTCAATGGTTCTTTACCGTGTGTGATTAATACCTGGCGAAATAAAACATATGCTTTTTATCTAGCATCATTGTAAACTACCCCCTACGCGGGGTAGTTTCGGTCAATTGTAAAAAAATTTAAAAATACAAAAATATGAGCCAACTTTATGTCTAGTTCCTAATAAGTTACAGTTTCATCAAAAAATATTGTTTTCTGAAGTATGTAACCAGTGTTTTTAAATTTGGTTTCTCAAGGCCAATATGCCGAATGTGGACCACTTTCCCCTATAATATATTTGGTACTAGTCGATTAAGTGAAAATCCTTTCCACTAGGAAGAAATTGGGTTCCTGTGAGATAGAAGTTTGGTAAAGGAGCTTTTGGAGAGACTGTTGCGACGATAGTGCATGCGAGAGACGTTGACAAGCAGAGGAGATAGCAGGCGTTTGTAGAGCAACAACTGAGAGTACGAGCAAAAGGTGGGAAGATCACAGGCGTAAGAAGAAAAGGAGTCAGTAAAAAATTCTTAAAAATAAAAGGTAAGTTTGCCATATAATCAACAAAGACTTTCAACCATGATTATAATTATTCTCTGTTCACAAATTGTTGATAGCACGAAATATGCCTCAAAATCATCAAACAGTCGTAAAATTTGTATCATCATAGGCGTTCCTGAGGTGTTTATTCATTAAAATTAATATTAATATTAATAATGTTTTAATACTTATATATTTAGTAAAAAACAATTAAAACTTTCACGGCTAATGTTGGTTATTATATTATATTAATAAAAATAATAATTTAACCATTAACAATTTTGTAAATAAGAATACCTTATCTCTTTGGATATTTCAATACTAATCTTCGCGTTTAATCACTTTACTAGAAAACCTGGTATTTATATCCGAAGGTACTATCGGTTGCAAGATAATTAGGATGGAATTCATCATCATCTTTGGCTCGACAATCCTCTGTGGATCTTGGCCTGCTCTAAGATTCGTCGCCATTCTGTTCGGTTTTTGGCAACATGTTGCCATCTTCTGATTTTTAATGAAAAAAAAAAAGGATGGAATTCCCCAGATTTTTAATAATGTAATGATTATAGATGCCGGATTTGGCCACGTACCTCGTCTGTTTAGTTTATATTCGAAACTTACAACAACAACATACAACACAAATCTAAGTTCAAGAAATACGTAGTTGACAAAATGGCGGAAAGGAGAAACATCACAGTCCTTAGACTTCCACCCTACCACTGCGAAATAAATCCAATTGAACTCATTTGGGCACAAATGAAAAGTTATGTGGCTAAAAAAAATACGTCATATAAAATACAAGCTGTACGTGAATTGTTATATGAGTCTTTACAACACATTACAGAACAAAACTGGAAAGATGCAGTAAGACATGTAATAGAAGAAGAACAAAAAATGTGGGATCTTGATAACATAATTGATGCGACCGTAGAGACCCAACTGCTAATTATTAACCCTCAAGACGACTCGGATTCCGAAGTTGATCCTATTTATTTTGAATTAAATAGTTTTCTAATCGTAATTATATAAGGTAAGTGATAGTAATTGTAATCGTAAGGTATTAAAGGGGAAAGGCGCAAAACGTCGCCTGTCAAAATGTTCAATGTGTTTTAAATGTATCGATTTTTTTTTCAAATCCTGAGAAAACTATAAAGCCTTTTTGGAAAAATTTAAAGGCAGAATAAAATATTTATTAGAATAAATAAAAAGTTTCTTTTGCATGCAATATTTTCAATTAAAAATTATACTATATTCTCTCTTTTATTTTCACCCTGTTGCATAACATAATAAAATAAACATTGTAGAAGTTTTCAGGGACTTTCTGTAATATACATCAGTATACACATATATAAATACCCTCAGTAATAATGTAATCTTTCATTCTGCTTTTAAATTTATCAAAAATATTTATTAGTTTCCTCCGAATTCGAAAATAATGGATACATTTAAAACACATTTGGTGCCTTTCCCCTTAATTAAATAAGTGTATCTTTTACAAATGGCAAAAAAACTTTATTTTTGAATAAAATATTTTATTTTATTATAAGTTTTATTAAAACAAAAATACAATTTAAAAAATATATTTATTTAGTTCAATATTGTATTGTATTCCGGCAGATACAAGGTGGGTTAGTCGAAAACATCTTAAATCGTCAGTTTCAGGTTGGTTTTTACCATTATATCGTATTACCTATCCTCTCTGTATTTCAGTTCTCTAATTAGGATTAAACTTGTAGTGAGCTATCAACAAATTGTGAACCGAGTATAGATCATAATTAATTTGTTTTTTTTTTAATATTTTATTCAGTGAATTCATTTCACAATAAATATATTTTAATTCAGATAAAAAAAATGTTAAAAGAAGTAATATTTCTTGAAAGAATATCATTTGTTTTGATTTAATTTAAAAAAAGAAAACATGGAGACGAGATCTTTTATTTGAATACAAGTCTAAACAATTATTGATGATTTGTATAGGAATTTTAATGAATTTGTAATTTTAACTATACAGATCAGCGCATATAATATATGATTTTGATTAGTTGTAAAATTGTCAAACTTTAATAATTTTTTTGCTTCTTTTTTAAAAAATAATTTATTAGTTTACCATCACAAAATTATTTGGTTTTTTTTATTTTATTTTTTTTTTAAATTAAATTAAATTTCCTATTTGATAACGTCCAATTTTATAATATAATCCGTGATCGGAGCAGTAGCCACCTTCTGGCAGTTGCTGTTCCGTATAGTAAATTTCTTGATTTATTTCGTATGCTTTAAATCATGAGGCCCTAATAAAGAACCATGGACTCAACTGTAAGTATGTCATAATATCTCGCTTGTTTTAATATGTATCAGTATTTAGTATGTATATAAAAACTTTACTTACCTAGCAACACCAGAAAATTTTCGTAATTTTCTAGGACCATTTTGAAAGACCGCTTCAGCAGTTTCAGCATATCCCATACTCGGCGTTTTAGTCTTTACACACATTTTTTGTGACGCTGATACCTAAAAAATAATTGTATGGTCAATTACATAGCATTAAGTCTGATATAAAGTTATCACTTGCAAAAGAGTTTTAGATTTATATACAGGGAATATTCCCGTTAAAATATGATACAAAATGCTCTCTACTCAAAGACAAAATACCTTTGAAATAAAAATAGCATACCTTTTTTCTTTCATTTAAATCGCAATATGTTTAGCGTCAGATTATGTGTATAACCAAGAGATATCAGACTTCGTTCGTTGTTTATTTAATTAACAACATAACAACATGTATCCAATGAGAATTACCATAAAAGACATTAACGAAATTTAGAAAAAATAACATTATTGATCCTGGAAATATTCCATCACATGCAAAAAGAAACAGTGACAGAGAAAAGTTCCATCATATCTCACATCATCTACTCATCATTGAAACGAGTATACCAGATGAATCTGTATTAAAGGAAGGAAAAAGTTAACGGACGGGAAAAACGTTTAGAAAATTCCAATTAGTACTTAGGTAAGTACGTATTATTATAAGCGAATTCTTTAAATTAGCCTTATTTCGTTAAAAATACCATATTATAAACAGATGACGCCAATGAAAACGCTTTTCTAAATTAAACATGCCTAGATCCTAGTCCTTTTTATTTAAGAAATGAGAGTAGTCACTGAATTTGATCAAATCCTCTAAAAATCAAAGAAATTAAACTAATAAAAGTCGTACCTGTCAAATTTTTGAAGTCTTTACCGTCATTTGCAATGAGGATAGAAGGTAATTTGTTTAGATTACAGCATGCTGGATATTTAAAATTGTTAAAATGACTAATAATAAAATTTCTCCGAATTTTTAATCCTTAACACCTATAAACGATGCAACAGATCGGTAACGAATGGAGGAAGCTTTAACAATACCAGGATATTCCAAGAGAATTCCGAGAGAATCGAATCGTCAAAAATAAACTTATTTTAAACTTAAATTGTGGCTTATTCCTAATAAAACTAGTAATTGCATTAAGGTGCCACAAGAAAATATCGTTAGAACAATACTGCAATAGAAGTCGAATATATGGATGAATTCTATTTTAAAGTTGACCAAATAAAAAATTTTAAGTGTAATCCTCTTTGTCAATTTAAGTGACTTTACATTGTCGGTATTAACTTTACCTCATTCCAATTTAAGAACTGAAAGACAATCTTCCAAATTAAATTTAACGAAGACGAAGTGTAGTAACCGCTTGGTGACAGACACATTAAATGGCATTATACATTCATCCCAATCAGTTTATCCTCAAAAGCGTTGTGTCAATTTTACACCAGCAAAATAATGGTAAAATCAATTGTTTGCAAAACGTGAAAGACCAAATTAAGATACAAACAATTTATTGTAGAAATCGCAGTTTGGACGTATTGTATTTGGTGTAGAGAACAATCGGCTTGGCACCAAGAATAAAAAGGGGTTGTCTTTAGTGACAAATCTCGATTTTGTTGAGGAATGCATAATGGCCTAGTCAGGGTCAGAAGGCGACGTGGTGATGAAAGACGAAATCAACAGTTTTTGTTGAACGTCACGTATACTGCATTGTTGGGGTTATGGTGCAAAGAGCCATTGCTTATGGTTTAAGGTCACATCTGATATATGATTTAAGGTAACTTCGGCTGAGGGAACATGAAAACTTAGCGCAATCTCAGGTCATCTCCCACATAAAAGCTAATTTGTCAGAAGGATAACGTAAGATAACACATTACGAGAGTAACCATGGGCTTAACAGGTTGGAGTCAATATTTTGCCTGGCTCCTCGAGGTCCCGTGATTTATTCCGATTGAACATGTGTGGGAAGTGACGGGTTGGAGACTTTTTAATTTAGAGTATACTCCTTCAACTTTGAGAGCACTCAAAAAGAATTAATTAGGGAATGGGACAAAACACTCCAGGAGGATACTAATTACCTAATCAAAAGCAAACTCAGGTACATTCAAGAGTGTGTTGCCCACCGTGGTTCATCATCATATTATTGATTTACCCCTGTAGGTATGAACAATATTAAACTATTATTATGCACGCAACTTAGTAATATTGGCAGATAGCGGTCTACTTTAAAATGTATATATGTCTGAATTGTCAATATGAATGAAGAAGAGTTTTTCACCGACTAACAAAAAAACAAAATTTGTTTAGTTTTATTAATGTATTTTATTTTGAGAACGATTTCCGAAGTGGAAATTGAAACGTCCTTAAACTTATTTTAAACTTAAATTGAGACTTATACCAAATTAAAATAGTAGTTGCTTTAAGATGCCGCAAATAGCTTCAGTACAATACCCCCCAAGACACTAGACCTAGACCCTAGACCCTATTGAGATTTTGATGGTTTGTTTATTTTGCTACCCTGTAATAATTTACAATGGTTGCTCAGATTTTTATGTCAGTATATTATTGGTGTCCGCTTATATCAAAAACCACCGGTTTGTTTACGGAATTAAAGTCATGACGGATATTCCATATAAAATAAGAAGCTTTCTAGTTATAAAATCACTAAATTTACATGTACCTGCATTATTGTAAACAAACTGGGGAATACCCAAATTCTTGTTTTTATAGGTTCTCGGTAAGAATAAAATTAACCTGTTCGTGTACAAATTTAAATATTTTAGTTTTGAAGTCATGATCATGAACAAATGTGTTGACCATATTTGTTTCTAAGATAAATATTTCAGTAAGGATATAATTGCAGGAAGTATTAACATTTACATGTGAAATTATACTAAATATAAATAAAATTTAACCTTCTACAGCTCTGTGTACTCTAATAGACATAGTATTCAATTTTTTAAAGCATTTGCATACTATTTTTCACCATACAAGTACATTAAACATGAAATATATGACAGATGAGACAGTCTTAACCCTCTCTGTAAGCTGGGTTATTTTAAAGATAAATCAAATTCAGTATTAAAGCATTAATAACCAAGATAGCGACACCATAGTATAAAAAAGAAAAAAATTGTGATTAAACTGTGGCGACACCCTCAATTTTTTTACATACCAAAGGGTCAGGTGACACTTCATTTGAAAAGTTATCAAAACCTAATTCGAAATATACCGGGTTTGCTAAAATAGGTCGGATATTTCGCGAAAATCTATTGAATGATATCAAATACGACCCCAAACGCTGTAAGGAGTTGTATAGAACTTTGAAATCTTAAATGGGAACCTCCAATTTGTATTGTATTTTCTTTCTTATTTCTTATGCAAAAATAAGTAACATTTTTTCGAATTGTTGATAGATGGCGTTCTAATAAAAAAAATAATTATGTTGATACTCTTCGAATATTATGAAAACGGTCTAATATCTCAAGTAATACGCTTCCACATCAAAACCAAAGGACGTTTTAAATATTTTTTTTAAATCGATTCACTGGCACCAACCCCCCACCCCCAGCCCGAGTAAAGCAACTTTGAAATCTTAAAAGCAACATTAAAATCTTAAATGGGATTAAGCCATTAATCTTTGCCAGTACAGATTAGGATTCTACGTAAAAGAGTTATTAAGTTTTATTTAATATTTTTTTTTTCAATTCACGATAGATGGCGCTGTAATCACAGAAAAACAAATACAGATCAGAAGTCTGAACTAATTTTTATGGTACTGAAGATAGATTTTTTACGATTTTTTTGCATAATCCCTATCTGCAATATAAAATTGTGATTCCTAGTCTGTAAAATTGCCACCAACTCCACGATAGACTTTTGAAAAATATTGAACGCTTTGAATTTGGAAGTGTATTTTTGAGATATTAGGCCGTTTTTATAATTTTCCTGGAGTATCCGGATAAATCTTTTTTTCCGATTATAGCGCCATCTATTGCTAATTCGAAACAATATCTCGAATAAAAGTTACCCAGTAAGCACAGGTACGTACATGAGACAAACTAAGTACGTATTGATGGGACATTAAGTATGTACAATGTACGTACTTTGCTGTACGAAGTACGTACTTAATATACAGAAGACGTACATTTTCCAATTGATGGTACATACCTAGTACGTACTAAAGGTACGTACCTAGTACATATTGAAGGTATGTACCTTGTACATACTATTTATACATATTATGTACATACTATATACGCACTTATACACTTCAATTTTTATTCTGATTCCTTTTTATTAAGAGTTTATTATTTATCTAACTTCTTCACCCACAAAATACATTTTTCAGTATAACTATATAAGTTAAAAAACATTCTACTGAATAAGATAACAGGAAACAACACTATAAGCACCAACACCAAAAATAAGTCAAAAAAATCTAAATGAAACTGTTTTGCAGTGAATTATCACATCAAAACTGTACTTGAGGTGGAAAATTCCAAACCAAATAAATTAGGTTAGGTTAACATAGCCTAATATAATAAATATGCTTTAGCTCTTCTGTCTTATGGTACATACTTAAGACGTAATAGTACGTACTCTTCTGTACGTACTGGTACGTACCCCAGTGTACGTACTTAACACGTACATTTTACATCATGTATGTACAGTACCAAAATTGTACGTACTCAAAACGTACTGTGAAGTTTGGTTACTTATTTTGGATAAAAATTCAAATATACAATAAACAATGGAGGATCATATTTTTAAGATTTTAAAGTTGCCCTGACTTAACTCGCAGGACGTGGGGCGGGGAGTCGTGTTTGGGGCCTCTATACATTTTTGAAAAATATTGAATATTTTTTCTGTTTTTTGATTCATTTAAAATATGAGAAAATGTTGACCAGCTATAGAAATTTTTTTGATTTCAAATATATCACTTACCAAAATGTGTACTGTATGAGTACATAGGAAACCAACGAAAAGTGTTCCAAAAAATCCTACCGCTAATCCAGCAGCTTTAAAAGCTCTTGGCATAGCCAAAATTCCAGTTCCAAGAGAGCTTTTGACCAAATGGATAAAGGCTCCACTAAACCTGAATGAAAAAAAAAAATAATAATAATAAGATTTAAAGATTCGTTATCAAATTTTATAGATTAGAAAATGTACATGAAATAAGGCTTCCATTCTCAAGAAACAGGGTATAAATGTAAGATTAGAGCTTTATATAAATACAATATATTTCAAAATACCAATAAAAAATTATGTTTTTATGTTTCAAATTTTTATTTTAACATGCCTTCATAAAAGGTATAATATTAAAAACCCTATCGGGCTACACCACAGAACGTGTTTGGAATTAATATTCCATCATCAGTGTTATCCAAGAACTAAATCAGTACGGGCATCGGAACTTACACCAGCCTAAACCATAGCTAAGCCTACTCGATAGGTAATTCTGTCAGCAATATTGCATTCAGCAAATCGTTTTAGTTGTTTTCTCCAGATTTTTCGGGACCATTTGCCTCAAGCAAAATCTAGTCTAACCACCCATTTACTTACATCCACATTTTAGACTTCGTTCAGGCTAAATATCAAAGTTTAGTTGTCGCGAAAATAATTACAGTAGTGGCAAACACAGAAACATATTGAGAACAATTGCGAAAAATTAATAAAAGAAGCGAATCGTTTTATACAAAAATAAATTAAAAGATGACCAAATTCGTGATAATCAAGAAGATATAGAGGATATATTACGGTACAAGCAGATGAAGATTGATCGTATACATTAACAGAACTTAGAAATTTACATATCTACTATAAAAGTAAAGGAAAATGGTCATAAAAATAACATAAAAACTAGAAATCACAATTACAAACGGAAATCTTAAAGACCTCATAAAATCAAAATGTGTCATAAAAAAAACAAAAGGGAGAATATACAAGACCGTGCAATGATGGCATAATCAGCATTTGCCGCCAGCTTACCATCTCTCTGTATGCCCAAACTCCCACCGACAATCTACTACTACCATCAATGCATGCTGGAGATACATCGGTAAAGATATAAAACGCCGTGGATAACGAGAAAAACGAGAACGAACCGAATTCGATCAGAAGTATTCATCTGGTGAGAGCTCATGTGGCGATGGCACAAAGGCGATGTGGACAGAATGAATGACGGGCGGTGGACCAAAAAAATTACAGTGTGAAGACCACGAGCAGGCAGAATAAGCAGAGGTAGACAACATACAGGATGGACAGAGGACGTCAAAATAATAGCTGGGAATTGGCTCCAATTTGGACGCAGAAGGCTGGATGATGATGATTCGAATTTCACACCTATGGCCTCTTGATTTTCTAAAGCATAAAAATACATTTTTCTTGTAGCATGTTGTTTTGTATTATCATGTATATACAGGGTTGCGAAAAAGTCTGGTAACAAGGTTTTATTTTTGAAAGGAATAGACTTAAAATTATGAAATTTTGAGATATTAAATGGCATTATATTCTGCATATTTTACAAGAGAACTTAAGTTTATATGGCGTCATCGTTTCTAGTATCGCAGCCATCTTTCATTTTTTTAAATAGCAACCTAGGTTAAGTGATATGTCAAAAAAACTTATTTCATCTTCTTTTTAAAAAACTTGACGCAATAATAAATAATTAATCAAATAATCGAAGAAACTTTGTTAAAACTATTCAATTCATCAAATTTTAAAAAATCATAGAAGTTTGACACAATAATAAATAATTAACCAATAACTAAAAAAAACTTTGTTAAAAATATTTAATTGAACGTAATTACAGTGAAAGTGTGGTAACAATGTGTTATCTCTAATTGACGCACATCTGATATGAATTTCATAGTAACTCTTTAATATAAGAAAAAAATAATATTAGTAGACATTAAGATAGTAAACAACACCATTATTTTTTGTCTATCTACAAACTGTAAAAACTGATTGCCTACAGACTTTATAAAGCAAAATGATAATGGCAAATTTATCAGAAAAAGAAAGAATTCAAGTACTCACATTAATAGGATTTCGTGATCGGAAACGAATATATGAAGAAGCAAGTTTTCTGTTTAACGATTTAAACCCTGAGCTCCCTCCTATAAGTAGATCAACAGTGTCCCGAATAATAAAGAAATTTGATAAAACTGGTACTGTAAATAATCGTCCAAGATCTGGTAGACCGAAAACAGCAACTAATAACGAGAAAACTTTGGGTACCTATCTTACGTTTAGGAGAATCATAAAGTGTCTACGAGTAAACTGGCAAAAAATCAGGACATTAGTAAAAAGTCTGTACAGTCCATTTTACATACACATAAATTTCATCCATACAAAGTCCAGACCCATGAAGAATTTTCTGAGGATGATTTTCATTGCCGATTAGAATTTACCGTGAAACCGTGATAGAGAAAATAAAGACTCAACACATTTTTTAAGATTTTGTTGTATTCAGTGATGAAGCCACATTCTGTTAAAATAGTTATGTGAACAGGCAGAATTTTCGATACTGGAGGAGATTCATACACAATATCCAGAAAAAATTAATGTCTGGGCTGGTTTGGTCTTACCAAACTACTTAATTTTTTTTTTATATTAAAGATACACTGAACGGAGTCAAATGTTTCGACCTTCTCCAAAATCAAATTAAGTCAGTGGCCCAAATTCAGACATGTTTAGGCTTTCACGTTTCATTTTATTTATTGGAATTAATACTTATTGAGTAACATTGATCAGTTTTTATTTTCTCGAATTAATAACTATTTCTAAGAGAACCTGACAAATTATTAATCATAAAATTTCGACAAGGTAATTATATTTTTATATTTATTATAACCATACAGAAATCACCTAATTCCGACATCAGGAGTGCAGTTTTCTCCAAAATCAGACATGTCAGTGAACCTAATTTAGACACTGATCCTAAATCAGACATTTGAGGAACATTATTCCGACAATAAATAAAATCACTAATTTTTAAGAAAAGTTAATATAAAATAGGGCAGATTATTTATAAAATTATACATTATTATGCGTTTCTAATTCTTTAATAGAAAAAAATCCTCTTTTATTTATTTCTGTGGGAGGTTTGATCTTCTTAATAACTTCATGGTTATCATACCAAATTTCATCTTTTATAGCTGGCCATTTCCACCAAACGCCAGCCTTAACCATTGCATTACCCAACATTTTTGTTTATTTGTAATGATCTTTTTTCTAGGTTTTTTTCTATTTTCCTCGCGCAATTTTTTATTTTCTTCTCTTTTTCTCTTTCTCTCTTCTTTTTCTCTAATTGCGTTTTTCTGTTCTTTCCTACTGTTTTGTTCTACCTACCGAAGAAACCTTAATTCGACACTGTCTTGAGGTTATTTTTTTCGTAGGTTCAGGCCAGAACAATGAGTTTTTAAACGGGGATGGTATAGCCACTCCTGGCAGAACACGACAATGTTTATTATTTCTGGAAGTCTTCTTATCTTTATCTTTATTGACTAATTCCTCTCTTAGTTGCTTCTCTTCATTAACAGTTGATTTTTATGGTGTCAATTGTAAGTTTACTAATATTTTTAGTATTATTTTCCTCTTCTTTGGCCGATTCCCCTTTTACTTGCTCGTCTTCAATGATATTATATTGTGTTTTTGGGGTCAACTGAACGTTCCCTAATATTTCTTTACTATTATTTTTATTATTGACCGATTCCCTTGGTATTTGCTCGATTTCAATGATAGCAATTTGTTTTTTTGCGGTCAATAATTAATTCAATCAAAATAATTTCTAATACATTATTTCTCTTTCCTATAACATTAGTTTTTGTTATTTCATCGAATATTTCTTTCGTGCCTGTTTCGTCAATGCTTTGCATTTCTTCAATAATTGCTAATTTTTTTTCAGCATATGCGCTAAGGCCAAGAAGTTCTGCTTCGGTTTCAGTATCTTTAAAGATGTCTTCAGTGTTCAAAATTACTCCTTGTAACGTATCATCAGCTTCAACTTCCACTTTATTTTCCCATCTATCTTCTAGAATTAGGTCTTCTTGAATATTGATGATAATGTTGGCCGTTTTCTCAATATTTTGGGACAATCCAGATTTCTGATATAGTTTGTACCAAACTTCATACAAACTCTTATCTTTAATTTCATCTGTCCACTCTGCACCCATAAGTCCATAACATTTAGTCAAACAATCTGGCTGAATGAGCGATTCCAGATATCGCAAATGACTAACTCTTTCAGGATCCGGTGCGGCTGTACTTGTGTTAAGCTCATTGTCTTCAGCGAGAAGTTTATGATAATCGATATTATCAGCATTAAATGGATAAAGACCATATATTTTAAAAGATTTTTTTTTAAAATATCTCCCACATTTGTTATTAAACTTAATGCAATTTGAAGGGCAGAAGCAGAGGTGTCTTTCCTAAATGTTTATAATTATTTTGGATTTTAAAATTTTGTACTTCAGTTTTCCATTTCATTTTTAAAGATTTAAACAATCCCACATCTAGAGGTTGTAGAATATGTGTGGAATTTGGTAACAAACTTACACCAGGATTATTTGTTTTTCTCTACAGTACTCAATCAGAGGTAGGGTCACGTGTGACTTATGTCCATCGAAGTATAATATTACTGGAAACTGAATATTTTCAGATAAGAGCCATGGGTAAAAAATGTTTGTTATATATTCGAAAAAAGATTCTAAAGTCATCCATCCGCTGCTTGACTTACCAATACTCCAACCTTTAGGCACCTGCGATACTATGTGCTTGAGTATTGTTTCATATACGTACATTTTCATATGCGTCAGTATCTGGAGGGATCATTATCCCTCCAGATACTGACAGAGAATGTAGCGTATAATCTTTAAGTAATTTTAAACTGTTTGTCCTCGTTTTAGTGTAAGTGTTTTGTACAATTTTACGTTATTTTTAATGTTTCCACATTCTACGCTTGCCGGATAGTTTACATTTTGACGAAATGCCCATAAAGATGCTATTTTAAGCGAAAGTACTTGGGCTAGATTTAATTAACTTGTGCTCGATAATAGCCTTATTTCAAAGTTCATTTATTCGAGCATTCAACCTCATTTCATGTATTAATATTACATGAAATAAAGTATTCTTCAATTTCCTTATGCTAGTTTCTGATTTTGTTTTCAGTTACGGCTGCTCGAGATGTACTTAAATTTTGAGCTATTTGTTCACTAATTTCTGGATGCCTTTTGGTAAATAATTCATACCAGTGACGACCTGGTCTCCCATCTGTAAAATTGTTAGGGCGCTTTAAATTTCCAACTTAAAATGAAAATTTAAAGCCCTTATATACAACTTAAACAAAGTTTATTCTAATTTTCTTAACTAGAAATATCTTATAATAAATAAAATAATAGCTGAAATCTGCTTACTTTATTGGAAATTCTTTCTCGATGGACAGAACATACAATTTGCAAGAACCGTCAAACTTTTAGGTTACCTATGTATTGACAGATACAATGTCGGTAAGATAGGAAAAGAATTATGAAACGAAAAAATCAATGTTAAATTAAACCAATAGATGTCTTTATATTTATTTGGATATACCAAATTTCTTATTTTATCCGAATAAACAGAAATATGTCTGAATTTAGGACAGTGTCTGAATTTGGGTGAAATCAACGGTTTGTTTCCAAATATGAATGTATATTTTAAACACGATGGTGTACCTTCACATTATCAAAGGGACGTTAGGCAATATTTAAATTCAATTTTATCTCAGAGATGGATTGATCGGAGAGATATGATAGAATGACCGACAAGGTTACCCGATTTGACACCACTCGATTTTTTTCTGCAGGGTTACTTGACGTTACACAAATTATCTTGTAAAACATTCAGAATATATTGCCATTTAGTATCTCCCAAAATTTCATAATTCTACGTTAATACGTTTTAAAGATAAAGCCTTGTTGTCAGACTTTGTCGCAAACCTGTATAAAAAATCACATTCGATTTTTTAAATAATTAATAACATTCCTGAATATTACAACATACTTATGTGTCATATTTTGATTGATTTCTAAGATCTTTTTGTTATATTCTTATCTTTGAAATAATCAATATAAATAAACTTGAAATAATTTTATCTCTATTTGTATTTAGGGTTACTTCAAATTTTGTAATTAACTAGATAAAATAAATAATCTCATATTAAAATATTCAAGATTATGTAAAACGTATACTTAATTATTAAGCGGATTTACAGTCTCTGCTACATCTAACTGAACAGATAGTTAATTATAAGGAAATGTTGACAATTAACACCGTTTTACAATTTTTACGAATGGATAGATTATCGTGTAATTACAAGAATGGTGGACAAGCCACCGTGTTGTCCTGACATGGATTGCACCGAACAAGTTTGAGCATAAAAGTACATTAGCTAATGAATTGCGAACAATTTGGACAACAATACGTTAAAACTTTATTTATAATGACATTCCATGAAGTAGTAGCATTATATACAAGACGAAAAGCTTGGGTTTGTTCGGAAAAATATTCCCTTGAGATTTTTTGCATAATCACTTTCATAAAATACCCAAAATTAAGGTTTAAGAGGTCGCCTAGGCGAAAAGTTGTTAAAATTTTTTTAAACATTTTTTTAAACATCGTCAACATCAGACAAGTCTGATAAGTCACGTTTTGAAGATCTTCCTGCGAGTAATACACAGCAGAATTTACACGCTGTTAGAGGACAGAATTAGCAATACTTAATTTGGGTTTAGGAATGGCTTGGATACAAGAGAAGCCTTGTTTAGTATACAGGTGCTAGTACAGAGATCATCATCATCAATCAGCCAATCGCGTCCACTGCTGGACATAGGCCTCCCCCAATTCTTTCCAGTGTTCTCTACACTGGGCCGCTTGTAGCCAGTTTCCCGCTACACGTTTAATGTCATCGGTCCATCTAGTCGGTGGTCGTCCTCGGCTTCTTTTATAATTTCTGGGCCTCCATTTTATAATACGTCTTGTCCACCGTCCATCTTGTGTTCTGGCTAAGTGCCCTGCCCAGTTCCACTTAAGCGTCGTGGTTCTTTCGATGACGTCTTGATCTTCGTCTGATTTGTTGGTTTGTTATGTGGTCTCGAAGGCTCACGTTCAGCATTGCACGTTCCATGGCTCGTTGTGTAACTCTAAGTTTATTCGCAGATTTTTGCGTGAGTGTTAAAGTCTCTGCTCCATAAGTTTGTACAGGTAAAACACATTGGTTATAAACCTTTCGCTTGAGACACATGGGAATTGAACTTTTTAGAATATGGCTTAATTTGCCAAATGCTGCCCATGTTAGACCTATTCGCCTCTGTATTTCATGTGTTTGATTGTCTCTGCTTATTTTGATTTCGTGTCCCAGATATTTGTAAGTGTCTGTTTGTTGTATGGTATTATTGTCAATAGTTATATTTCCACTCATTACGAGATTTGTTATAATTTTAGTTTTCTCAAAGTTTATCTTTAATCCTGCTCTTTCAGACAGACTTTTAAGCGAATGCATCATAGTAACTGTATCATGTAAGTTATCTGCGATTAATACAACATCATCTGCAAACCTTAGGTGATTTAATCTTTCTCCATCTATATTGATGCCCATATCTTGCCATTGAGTACCCTTAAATATTGACTCTAGAGCTGCCGTGAACAATTTTGGTGAAATATTGTCTCCTTGTCTAACTCCTCGTCCTAAGCTGAATTTTTCTGTGTCTTCGTGCAGTCGTATACTTGATGTAGCGTTCTGATAGATGTTTTTGATTAGTGTCGTGTACCTGTAATCTATTCGGCTTTGATTTAGGGCTTCCAGTATTGTTTCAAACTCTACAGAATCAAAGCCTTCTCGTAATCGACAAATGCAAGAACCAGTGGCATGTTGTACTCGATGCACTTTTCTATTAAGATCTTTATGGTATGCAAATGGTCATTTGTGCCATATCCTACCTGAAGCCTGCCTGTTCTTTGGGCTGATAGAAATCAAGTTTAGGTGTTAGCCTCTTTGTTAAGATTTTCATAAAGAGTTTGTACATATGTGTCAAGAGGCTGATGGGTCTATAATTTTCTAATTTAGTAATATCGCCTTTTTTGTGTAACAAGACTATTACTGTAGTACAGAGATGCAGAGATATAAATCAAAATGTGTACAATTGTGCAATCGATTTTGAAAAGGCTTCTGACAAAGTCCGACATAACAAAATGCTAGAAATATTGGAAATAGCTGGATTGGACGATAAAGATCTACAAATAATAATAACAAATCTATACTGGGATTAAGTGGCAAGAATAAAGGTTGATCAAGAACTGTCGAATGAAATAAATATAAAAAGAGGAGTAAGACAAGGCTGTATATTGTCGCCTTTACTTTTTAACTTATATTCGCAGGAAATATTTAAGGAAGCCTTAATGGAGACAACCGAAGGTATTATTGTGAATGGAGTAACCGTCAACAATATTAGGTATGCCGACGATACCTTAGTCCTTGCTAATTGTGAAGAAGACCTTCAAAATCTAATTAACAAAATAAAACAGACTTGTAATCAGTATGAATTAAAACTCAACGTTAAGAAAACTAAATATATAATAGTTAGCAAACAAAATTATATACAGGATGGCGGTATAAAAGTCGGAGATGCCACACTGGACAGTCACGATCTTAGCATTGACCTTCGAGTGACATCTTGCTACATCTTTCGAACTCTACAGAATCAAAAGCCTTCTCGTAATCGACGAATGCAAGAACCAGTGGTATGTTGTACTCGATGCACTTTTCTATTAAGATCTTTATGGTATGCAAATGGTCATTTGTGCCATATCTGTCCTGAAGCCTGCCTGTTCTTTGGGCTGATAGAAATCAAGTTTAGGTGTTAGCCTCTTTGTTAAGATTTTCATAAAGAGTTTGGACTTTTTTTAAAAAAGAGCCTTTTTTGTGTAATAAGACTATTACTGCATTGTTCCAGTCTTTTGGAATATGGTAGCAATAAAGTCACGATAGCGAATATGGTAGCCAACATGATATCCAACGATCGATAACGGTCATGGAACTAGAAGAAGAAGAAGTAAAAAATCATGATGTCAGGTCAAAAGTGCACCAGATCATACTTTATATTTACTTGGATTATATCCATGATGAACAGCATTCTGTGGGACCAAACAATATCTAAAGCGAACAAACAACTCATATACAACACCATACTTAAAAGTGTAATCACATATGGCAGTGAAATTTGGCCAATGAAACAAAGAACAGAGAAACTGTTACTAGCAACAGAAATGGACTTCTGGAAAAGAGCCGCAGGCAAATCAAGAAGAGATCGGATACCAAATGAGAGAATACGAGAAATGATGGGAGTCAAGCATACAATAGTTGATGACATAAAAACAAAACAGTTAATATGGTACGGCCATGTACAGAGAATGCCAGATGACAGGATTCCAAAACAGATTTTGACGTGGATCCCACAAGGGAGAACGTAAAGAGGAAGACCGGGAAGAAGCTGGAGAGAGGGAATTGAAAAAGAATTAGAGGAAAGAGAAATCCCTTCAGACCTATGGTTGAATAGAGAATAATGGCGGTTAGGAGTCGGAAGGCGTCGGAGAACGCTGTAAACCGATAGTAGTAGTAGTAGTATATGCAAAAAGTTTATTATTTTAAAAATTTAATGTCTGACTGTAGATGACAATTGATTGGATCCTCCGTGGCATGCGACGGTGTAAAAAATAGTGTAAATATATTTCTTATACAAAAATAATACTTCACGAATAATTTCGTTATATTTATTTTTGACAACTGATATACCCATTTTTTTGTTTTTAATAAGGTAATAAGAAAATTGACATGAAAAAATTGATTGAATTTGTAAATTTAGTTACTTTAAATAGTCATGGACGCTAAACTATTTTCTAAATAACTTACTACATTATGTTTCTACTTACGTATTGGGATGTTCAAGTTCTCTGTGTTCATACTGATTATATTCCTTAATTAGTTCCGAGTCAATGGGAACCTTTACAGGTTCATTCTTATTTAAAGTTGCTCTGCAAAAAAATACAAGGATTTACTAAGGTTACTTACATTAGTTACATTAACCGCATAAACAAAAAATAGTAAACAAAGTAAAATTGTAAATAATACTGTTTTTTAATTTATTATTTACTTTATGTCATACTAGGTTATTATTGTGTTTTTATTGTTTAGTTACCAACTACGTAATAGTGTACTTACTTTATGCCCGCGCGGGCATAAAGTGTACTTTATTGCCCGCACGGACGTAAAGATACAAACAAAAAGATAACTTATTAGAAACATTTTTATTTAACAACATTTCAAAAGATTATTTAGAATTCTAACATCTATTACTATTACTAAATTTATTAGTCCCAGGTATCATCCAGGTTCCATTATGAATATTTTTGTGGGGAAAACACATACTAACCAGAGAACTACGAAGGTTCTCTGTACTAACTACTCTAAGTTTATTTGCCATTTCCAACTGTTTTAGCAAAGCCTCGACCAGAAGGTAAAAACTGTGACCTGATGAGAGAAGTTTTTGATTAATCTCAGTAAAATAATCACATTTTTCAAAAGAGTAATATAGATTCAATACTTTCCAGAGATTAAATTACTCTCTTAAAAACAATTATTTGTTTATTTGTTATATATTTCTTCTCCTTCTTCAAGATCCACTCCTATCGGAGATTGGAAATCATTCTGGCCATTATAATTTTATTCAAATCATGAATGTGTTGCTTGTGTGAGTCCATTTCAAATAGGTAAAGAAATAATAAATTAGACTTACTCACAATCAATTTAATTTAACTCTCTGACGACCGGTTTCGCTTTCTACAATATGCAAAGCATCCTCAGGTCTCGATACAAAGTTAAACAAATGCTGAAATAATAAAAACCCATATTAGGGTGTTGTCCAATAACGATAAACAAAGTAGATGTTGTAAATTACAATAATTATGCCAATATTACATGTCTGTGGTTTTATTTAAATGAGTAAGTTGATTAAAAGGTATAAAAATTTTAAAAGTTTAAACAGACAAGGTAAGGCCCACAAATTGTTATAAAATAGTCTCTTCGATTGTATTAAATTAACAAATGAGCAAATAAATAAATAAAATAAACATTACTTACATGCCGGTACTCTATTAATTGATGGATGGTAAAAACATGGTTGAAACTACTATATATTGTTGAATGGAGAACTCAATTCTATTATTGCAGTTGTTTGACAGTAAACGGGAAGTTCTTGAGGAGATAGATTTGATGCAAATTGTCATAAAACTGTCACCTTTTTAAAACAATTACTCAATAAATAACACACATTATAAAAATATATCTCTCGAATAAGTATAAATAGCTTTTAATAACACAATGATATATTACATTACTTTCATTTAACAAACAATCACACACATATCTCTTCTTCATTGGATCAAATCTATCTCCTCAAGAACTTCCTGTTTACTGTCAAACAACTGCAATAATAGAATTGAGTTCTCCATACACACAATATATAGTAGTTTGAACCATGTTCTACCATCCATCAATTAATAGAGTATCGGCATGTAATGTTTATTTTATTTATTTATTTGCTCATTTGTTATTTTATTACAATCGAAGAGACTATTTTATAACAATTTGTGGGCCTTACCTTGTCTGTTTAAACTTTTAAAATGTTTATACCTTTTATTCAACTTACTCATTTAAATAAAACCACAGACATGTAATATTGGCATAATTATTGTAATTTACAACATCTACTTTGTTTATCGTTATTGGACAACACCCTAATATGGGTTTTTATTATTTCAGCATTTGTTTAACTTTGTATCGAGACTGAGGATGATTTGCATATTGTAGAAAGCGAAACCGGTCGTCAGATAGTTAAATTAAATTGATTGTGAGTAATTCTTATTTATTATTTCTTTACCTATATAATTTTATTGGTTACTCGCCTGAATAGTTCAATTGAACTGCATCCAAACCATTCACGGATATTGAGTAGCCACGAGATTTTACGTCTTCCTACGCTTCTTCTACCTTTGATTTTACCCTGCATTATATTCCTTAGTAGTTCGTACTTTTCACCTCTCATGATGTGCCCCAAGTATTCCAATTTCCTGATTTTTATGGAATTTAAAACTTCGCATTGTTTTCCTAGTTGTTCGAGAACTTGTTCGTTTGTTTTGCGATCCATCCATGATATTTTCAAAATACGTCGGTAACACCACATTTCGAATGCTTCTAGGTTTTTAATGTTGGATTTTTTAAGTGTCCAAGCTTACTCCATACAAAAGGGTAGAGAAAATATAACATCGAAGCATTCTTATCCGGAGTGATATATTGATATCGCGATTACAAAAAAGTTTTCTCATTCTATTAAAAGTTGACCGCGCAATTTCAATGCGGCATCTTATTTCTTTTGTCTGATCAGTATCTTCTGTGAACCATGCTCCAAGGTACATATCCTCCTTATATATTTACAGGACGCTATTTCTGTTAAAACCCTTCCTGCAAAGCAGTCGTATCATAAACGCATTGCTTTGTTAGTTCCCATATTATGAATAGCAAAGTTATAAGAACTAAGTTGTCTTTGATAAATATTCCAGTCGGACAATGAGGGCAAAATAGAACCTGGATTTAGGCGAACTTTACATTTATTATTTTGAACTGATTGTTGACAAGTTACATTTTGTTACTCGTTCATATATTCCATATGCCCACATTGGTATAATAATGTTAAAGAATTTTAATTTTGTTTTTAAGATGCTTTGAGAGATTATTGTCAGTAATTACATTGTTATTAATTATATTTTCTTGGAAGAAAATCAAAATCAATATCTATCACGTTTATTGTGGTTTCTTTTTTCCGGCGGGCGAACTTTCGACACCAAATTGTCTTTGTACCTGGGTAATCGAAGGGTCAAATTTTATTATATGAAATTTCGACACCGCGACGTAAAGCAGGTAGGTAGGTAATTAGCGGCGATGGACATTTGCATCCAAGCAGGACAAGCGGATTTTCCCAATATTTATTGTAACGGTGGGGGTCGTGGCACTTGTGTACTTGTGACTAAATTATTTCAGTTGTAACCGGCGAGATATTTTGGCGCTGCATCCAAAGAAACACTAAGTGTTCCGCAAAAGTGTTTACAATAGGCTGTGAGCACCTCACCATCACAAGAAGTGATTTTGGTACATAATCATGAAGCCGATCCAAAAAAGCTTGAAGTAAAGATGGTAACCAATGCATGTAAAAGAAAAGCCCAAGAGGACATATAGGAAAAGCCTGCCAAAATTACAAGAACTGCTGTTGCTGAATGTGATGCCAATTTGCTGACGGTTCCTGACATAGCTAACATAAGAAAGAACATTTACAACTGTCGTCGTAAACTGTTACCAGGTCCGTTACCAAGAAGCATATCAGAAGTCCATAACGCGGTTAGTAATTATTCTCCTAAAACCTGTCGCAATGAAAGTTTTTTGTTTTTAAATCATCCTGAATTAAATGTAATTGTATTTTCATGCGAGACAAATATTCGTTTGTTGTGTAAATTAAAAACTTTGTATATGGATGGTACATTTTCATACAGTACCAAATATTTTCTACAATTATTTACTATACATGGCTTGGAAAATGGACATTATGTTCCTTTAGCATACTGTTTGTGAAAGGACAAATTGTCAATGACATACAAAAATTTATTTTCTTTATTAAGGTCTAAGATTTTTGAAATATTTCAATTATCATTAGAGCCAACTGAAATATTTGTGGACTTTAAAAAAACAATTCACTGTGCTTTATTGTATATGTGGCCCAATGCAAAAATTAGTGGATGCCGTTTTCACTTACACCAAAACTGGTTTAAAAAAATTCAATCTTTGGGTTTGGTACAAGAATGTAAGGATACAAATTCAGAAATTGGAAAATGGTTAAGGCATACGTTTGGTTTAACTTATTTAAATCCAGCAGAAGTTGAAGAATGCTTTCTTTATGATTTAATGTCATATAAACCTATAAAGGCAACACTTGACATATATATATATATATATATATATATATATATATATATATATATATATATATGCAGATTATTTACTGGAAAATTACATTTTCGATAGCGCTCTATTTCCACCACACATATGGTCTAATAAGAATCCGTCTATTGCGAGGACCACAAATGCCTGTAAATCCTTTCATTTGAGATTTAATTCTTCTTTTTATTCAACACATCCTTCTATTTTTATTTTTATTGAAAAGTTACAAGAATTTCAAGTAGACACTTATGTCAAAATAAATAGTTTACATATACCAGCAAAAATCAAAGATACTACTGTTAAGGCTAAATTGGCATTTTTGGAGAAAATGATGGATAAACTACGATCCCAACAAATACGTAGGTTAGATTTTATAAAAGCTGTATCTTATCATTCCTATAATAGCAAATAAATCATTGTATACAAGTATATTAACGGTAAAATGTACAAAAATTAGGTACTAGTTGTATTATATTTAGATATTATTACAGTTATAAAAAAATAAGATGCACATTACTTTTATTAAAATAAATAAATTAATTAATTATGGTATTTTATTTATGTCGCAGCTATATTTATTTGGTGTCGAATATACCTGTAAGATAAAAACGGGAATTGGGGCTGGTGTCCAAAATTGCCATTAAATTTTAATCGCTACCTGCTTAGTGTCGAAATTTCCTACGCCCCTTTTTTCTAATTTAATATTATAGCTTTACTGAGTAATTTTAAGTTAATAAGTTTCTACTCGATAGTCGTATTACCAATGCTGTCGTCTACAAATGTTCCATAACTGGTGTAATAAGTAGCAATGTTTAGGATATATAGAAGGTATAAGTAGAAGGAACCCTTTGTACTCTATTATATAATCCTGATTAGATTGGAAAATTCGGCGAAATAATCATCTACTTTGGTATTTTACTGTCTGTCAATGAAATATGATTTGAGCCGTTCGTTAGAAGACAAACGGAAAATATTTTGAGATTTTATA